GAGGTGTGGCAGGGGGACTGCATGGAGAGACATTTTGGAAGAAGGAGGGGCACAGTTTGGATGTAGGCGTAAGCAGGGAATCGGGGTACAGGGGCTTCCAGCTTTGGAAATGGGAGATAACACTGGTAACAATGGAACCCCTGGGGGAAGTCAGGCAGATATAGAAGGATAAGAACAGCCAAGAGACATGTTGGTAATAGCGCTACACCAGGCTGGCAAATAGGTTCCACCAGTGTGCCCAGCGTGGTGGTGTGAGAGGGATTCTGAGGCTGAGTTCAGCTCCAGGAAGAGTCCTGAAGTTTACTAGGGATGCTCGCCAAGTTTAGAAGAGGAGAAAGGGGCGCACACCTGCCACAGCCCACTTCCTCATCCAAACCCGGCTGAACGCAGGTGTTTTCTCATCTGTTGCTGCAGGGATAGTGATGCGATGAGCAGTAGGCATTAGAACACATCAGACTTCGTTCTTTTTTATTTTCATGGAAAAACAAAGCGAAAAGTTTGGCTTCTGCCCAGAGTGGTGTAGTGTGGTGTGACTATGCAAGTGGTACATCTGAAGCTAAGTGACTTTGAAAGTTGATCAGTAATACCAAATGTATTTTTTATTGCCACAGGTGATCAAAAGAAAACAGTAATAGCTGTTCAGGTTTAAAAATGTAAAATACTTAAGTCATCATAGAACTATTTTAATGAATTCTCTTAAGGGATTATGAAAGACATTGAATTATTGTAGAAGCCTGAGCTCCATAAAGGCACAGCTTTGAAATTTCTCTAGTCTTGAAGAAGGGAGCAGGATGTTACAACGTGGATTTTCTCTTTAAAGGAATCCTCAGGGTGTAGGTAGCTTGCCCTCACTGTGCCATGTGGCAGTATGACAACCACACATTTGTTTATTTCTCCTAGCTTGGAGCTTTGAGAAGAGTAGGTGGTTACCCCAAAAGTTTCATGTCATAAATCAGCAAGAAACTTCTTTGAAACTGTTGATTCCAGATTCACCTGGGGGCACTTTCCCTGGCTTTCGGCTCTTCCCACATCCCCAAGCCCAGTGAGTTTTTTTGGGGCTTGTCTGGGAAGGGGCTTAGAAGCATTTTCAGAAGCCAGGGTTGTGCCTGGGACTGTCGATCTGGGGAAATGCATTTTCTACTTATTTTAGTCAGTTTTTAAGGATTCCGAACTTTATATCATTAAATATAACAAATACCCTTGTTTTTCCTATGTCTTGTAAAGAAAAATAAACGAGACAAAGTGTGTAAGTCTGCAGGAAAGCCCAGAATGTAGCTGACAGAAGTTTAAAGAGACAGATGGCCTGGTGTTGTCATGATGAGTGATGAAAGAGACAAGAAAATGAAGCCACCAGATGTAAGAAACCAAGTGACATTTCTCTAAGGTTTTCACTTAACCATGAGGGTCCCCCAAGTGGGAGTTGGGCTATTTCTTGACATAGCTGGTAAAGACTTTGAAGGAACTAGAGAGTTGTGATTAAAGAAGAAACATCAATATTTGAGTGCTTTCTATTGCAGACATTGCACTAGATATGTCAGGTACCATGATTGGTAGGTGCTAGATCCCAACTCCTGGTTGCTTTTAGTCCTTTCGAGAGATACTGTTATTTCTATTATTATTTCTCTATCCCTTTAACCTTTCCGTCAGAGGAGGAAACAAAAGATTTATGAATGTTGAGTAGCTTATGGGGTCACGTAGTTTAGCAAGCATGTAAATGACATTCTTACCTCCATCCTGAGAAGCCGTTCTTCCTTCTTTGCCTTAGAATGTTGGTGTCCTGGCACAGTTGGGTGAATGGGAAGTTGCACTGGGCATGTAACTGATTTTTTTGAGTGAGGAGTCTGGGACCTGAGGAGTGGGATGTTTATGTGTAGGTAGCACCCGCCATCCTCCCTCCCTCCCAGCCTCACTGCTTTAGGAAAAGGAAGTGTTGCGAGGGTCCTGACCTTTCCCTGCTTCAGAGAAGGCTTGAGCTACTCTTTGTACTGACTCCTGCCTGGTGACAGCTGTGACTTCAGCAGCCAGGTCTTGCTGCCTTTCAGGCATGTTGGGTAGAGTGAAGGGCCCTAGGCCTTTCTAATCTAGGATGATGACTGGTGCTTAGTTCAGGCTAAACCTTTCAGAAAAGAAAATTTTGGTTGGCAGAATGGTACCTTTTCTACAAAGGAAATCTGCTTTCCTTAGAAAATAGATTCTGGCAGCCGAATCTTGAAGTCCCTTTTTGAAATAGGCATTGATTTTCTTATGGCCATGGGTGCTACAATGCCTGGTAATGAGCTTATTCAAGAATTGCCAAACGGCAAGGAACCTTGCTTGTTTAATGCCTTGCTGTCATCATTTTAGCAGATGTCTTCATTCTTGCCAGGGACAGTTTTTAGCCCAGTTTATAGTTATTAACAGTGACAGAGAGCTGGGGAATGATACACCACACGAGCAGATGCGAGACAAAGCAACTACCACGAGCTTTACAGGTGCCGACTTCAGGAAAAAGGGCTTTGGGGAAGATAATTCAGCAGTAGTGAAAACAGCTGTTTCTAAGCTGTCTTAGATCAGGCAAAAAGTCAGGCAGTTTATTAAAACGTCCTGTCCAGAGTATAGAACATCTATTTGCACCCACTCAACCGCTTTCCCGCCTTGAAATGGGTACTTTTCTCCTGTAGTGATCAGTGAATTCTGTTGAATCTTGTGTATTATTGTGTAACAAATCATCCTAGAACTTTGTGGTCTAAAATAATTATTTAGTATTCCTGTAGGTTTCACTTGGGCTTACTCATGTGTCTGTGGTTGGCTGGAGAATTTTGCTGGCCTGGGCTTAGTAGGGACAGCTGGGATACTGGGCATCTCTCTCCATGTCTGCAGTCGGCCTGGGTGTGTGGCTACCACCTTGGTTCTCAAAAGTGTGGGCCCTGGGCCAGCAGCATCTCTATCATCTAGGTACTCTTTGATTCTTGGGCCCTACACCACATCTACTTAATCAGGATCTCCAGGGTCGGGCCAAGCAGTCTGTTCTGTCAAGCTCTGCAGGTGTTTCTGATGCTCCTAAGACTTGAGAATCACTGCTTCTGAGTATTAAAGCTCTCAACACCTCTTCCTTACTCTTACTCCCATTCCTTCCTTCTAGGCTTTCTGTCTCTCTGAATTAGGATATTGTTTGTAGTGTCTGCCCTGTGTCTTGTTTGTGTCATTGTAAGGCTGGGGTTTTCTTACTGCTCCGGGGACTCTTATGGACCATCACCCCAGGCACATTGGGGTTGGGGTGAGTAAGATATGTTCCCTGAATGCCCTCAGTTTATAGTCTAGCAAAGGAGGTAGTGTGCTATGGGAGGTCAGC